CATACAAAAGGATATAGTCAAAGACTCTGGGCATGACACAAGAGATGGTCAGAGACTGTAGACATAATACAGGAGATGTTCAGAGACTATAGACATGATACAAAAGATAGACAGAGATTACAGACATGATACAAGAGATGGTCAGAGACTGTGGACATAATAGAGAAGACAGTGGACATGATACAAGAGCTAGTGAATGATCAAGGATTTAATACAAAAGATGGTCAGGCATGGCAGATATATTACGGTAGATGTTCAGAGTCTGCAGACATTGATACAGTGCCTTGAAAAAGTATTCATACCCCTTGAAATTTTTCACATTTTGCCAAAAATGTAAATGTATTTTATTGGGATTTCATGTGATAGACCAACACAAAGTGGCACATCATTGTGAAGTGGAAGGAAAACGATAAATGTTTTTCAAAATTATTTACAAAAAAATATCTGAAAAGTGTGGTGTGCATTTGTATTCAGCCCCCCTGAGTCAATACTTTGTAGAACCACCTTTCGCTGCAATTACAGCTGCAAGCCTTTTTGGGTGTGTCTCTACCAGCTTTGGATATCTAGAGAGTGAAAGTTTGCCCATTCTTCTTTGCACAATAGCTCAAGTTCTGTCAGATTGGATGGAGAGTGTCTGTGAATAGCAATTTTCTTGTCTTGCCACAGATTCTCAATAGGATTTAGGTCTGGACTTTGACTCGGCCATTCTTACACATGAATATGCTTTGATCTAAACCATTCCATTGTAGCTCTTGCTGTATGTTTAGGGTCGTTGTCCTGCTGGAAGGTGAATATCCACCCCCGTCTCAAGTCTTTTGCAGACTCTAACAGGCTTTCCTCTAAGATTGTCCTGTATTTGGCTTTATCCATCTTCCCATTAACTCTGACCAGCTTCCCTGTCTCGGCTGAAGATAAGCATCCCCACAACATGATGCCGCCACCACCATGTTTCATGGTGGGGATGGTGTGTTCAGGGTGATGTGCAGTGTTAGTTTTCCGCCACACATAGCGTTTTGCTTTTAGACCAAAAAGTTAAATTTTGTGCTCATCTGACCAGAGCACCTTCTTCCACATGTTTGTTATGTCCCCCACATGGCTTCTCGCAAACTGAAAATGGGACTTCCTATGGCTTTCTTTCAACAATGGCTTTCTTCTTGCCACTCTTCTATAAAGGCCAGATTTGTGGAGTGCACGACTAAGTCCTCATGCACACTGGGCATTTTAAAAAAGCCAGTAGCATTAGTTGTATAAAGTCACATTAAAAACGCAAGTTCTTCTGCATTTTTTAGCATTTTTTGCATTGGTGTTTAGCCACATTTTCTGTGATTGTGTTTTTTAGTGTTTTTTTACACCCAAAAAAATATTTTGGCTCAAAAAAGTTCAAAAACGCCTGTTTGCTGCATTTTGCCGCATTTTGCCACATCTACGAGCGCTAGAGCATTTTTACAGGTAAAAAACTCCTCTAGAAACCAACTAGTTCAGGGTTTTTTTTCCAGCCAAAAAACGCCACTGGCAAAAAACGCTGATTAAAGCCTATGTGTGCATGGACACATAGAATAACATGCTGGGGAGTTTACTGGCTGTAGACAAAAATGCCAAAAGATGCTCCGTGAGATGCTCAAAGCTTGGGATTTTTTTTTTATAACCTAACCCTGCTTTAAACGTCTCCACAAGTTTACCCCTGACCTGTCTGGTGTGTTCCTTGGCCTTCAGGATGCTGTTTGTTCACTAATGTTCTCTAACAAACCTCTGATGGCTTCACAGAACAGCTGTATTTATACTGAGATTAAATTACACACAGGTGGACTCTATTTACTAATTAGGTGACTTCTGAAGGCAATTGGTTCCACTAGATTTTAGTTAGGGGTATCAGAGTAGGGGGCTGAGTACAAATGCATGCCACACTTTTCAGATGTTTATTTGTAAAAAATTTTGAAAACCATTTATCGTTTTCCTTCCACTTCACAATTATGATCCACTTTGTGTTGGTCTATCACGTTATCTGCATGCCTACATATAAACATCAGTAAATTATTATGTCTATGGGTAAGAGGCCTACATGTATTTTTAAATACCTCTAGTATATGTAACCTGAAATTTGAAGCAGTGGATTGTGATGCCTTTAAGGCCACATTCACTCTTACGATTGGTCCTGACATCAATTACATAAGAGAACCCCAACGGGGGTTCCAGATGATTAGCTGCAGGAGGCAACCCTTGTGAAAGCAATGGGATGCTGCCGGCTTTTGCAGCTTATCACGGTTATTCACATGTAATCCCTCATGGAGTGATTACCTGCGAGTTTTTGGCCCTGAATGCAGACTGTCGTCAATATCTTTTAGCAGATGAAGGTTCATCTGGATCATAGCACAATAGAGGTGAGTATGCAGACATGCGGTTCAGATCACAATAGGGAAGGCTAGTTTTGGGCTAGAGTAACAGGTATGGATAATAGCAGGAAAGTGTTGTATCATGTTAGCCATGGGTGGTGGTAGTAGTAGGAAAGTAAAAATTTAGATGAAACATTTATGTTACTAACTGAATTAATTATAGGTACAAGTACTTGAAAACACTCAGTTTACTTTTTCTAGCATAATTTTAAACAAATTGCTAAAAATTCATACTTACCGGTATATGGGCACTTATATTTATTTATTTTTTTGATTGGTTGAACTAGGTAGACTTGTGTCTTTTTACCCAACTATGTAACAAGTGAACAATAAGGATCAGATAAGTGTGTCAAGTAGATTGGGTGGTCAAATGCAGCACATACACTGTGGTCAGTGGCAGGGCTGTACAGTAGTTCTTGTGGCTGGCAAATAACACTGGGGGGCTGGACCTGTGGTAAAGATCTTAGTTCAGCAATATGGCATCTCTGAGAGAGGGGTGCAAGATGTTTCCCATTTGGGAAGGGGCAGACAAGCCTCAAAAAGCTTAAAAAAGTTATACATGCTTTCAAAATCCCCCCATACGTACAACACTGGACACGCAACTTGGAGACTCCTATCAATCCAGGATTAAGGTCTGGTCTAGAGTGGCCAAATCTTCTTTGAACACATCTACCCTGGAGTCAGCTTATAAAGTTCTCTTACGGTGGTACTGGGTCCTGGCTACAATCACCTTAGCAAATCCTAAATACTCTGACAGATGCTTTCAGCGTTGCGGACAATGAGGCTATGTACGGTATACCTGGTGGTCCTGCCTGAAACTCCTGGCCTGTTGGTCCAGGGTTTTCAGACTCCTCCAAACTCTGTTTCATTTAATTGTCCCCAATGATGCTAAGTATGCTCTGCTCCATTGCCCAATCCCCGGCCTCTCTGCCCATTAGCAGAAACTAGCCATGTACCTTTTCCTCTCAGCCACACAAACGATAGTCAAGGCCTGGAAAAAGCCCTCAGTCTCTTTACAGGAAGTCAAAGACCATAGCAATCAGATGCTAATCAATGAGAAATTATCCAGTATCCTCAATGATTCTCAAGCAAAATTCTCACGCACCTGGGAACAGTGGCTTACCCTACACCCTTCCTTCTTGGAATCCGGGCAGCCTATTTTATTTTAAGCTCCCAATTTAAATTGGGATCCAGTCTGTGGAGACATCTTCTTATCCTTCCCTTGCCCCCTACTCCCTTCCACTCCTCTATTTCTTTCCTACCACCTAGTTCCCAATATCCTCTCACCCTGATTCAAACTGTCCAATCCACTCAAGGCATCCCGTTATACCGACTGTTCCTAACCTTCAATGTACGCCTGCTTCGCTTTCCTCTTGACGGCTTTCACTAATTTCCTGATTTGAGTTCTATGTTAATGTCCAGCTTCCATTTGATGCCATTGACCCTGCGTGGACTTAACAGTTGTTTTGATTTCTAAACTTAAAATTACTAATAAAAATCATTGAACCAGAAAAAGGGGTACTTAACCTTGAAATGTAGGTATTTTAATAAAAGATGATGAAGATTTTAAATAATAGTTAAAATGACTTTAGGATTGATATTAACACATTAAAACGTCTATGAAATTTTAGTGATTTGGGTTTACATAAACTTTAATAGTTTGTAGTTTTCAAGCTGTGCAGTGCAAGACCATTCAGTGTAATACAGTGCTCCAGCCCTGATTTTTAGGCTGTATTTGGAAGGTGTAGAGAATCCACACTGAGCACCACCTTCTAAAGACTGTGTGTAAGGCTGAACTTTGGCATTAACAAGGAATCCTCCTCATATGGCATTGGACAGTTGGAGTTTGGTTCGCTGATTCTGTATTTACACAGTTCATCTTCTCACGGAGTGCAGCATATATGTGCAGTCAGTGGGTGTGAGAAACAGGCTGTTTTGGCTCTTACAGTGAAGGAGAAACTAGGCCAGATGCACCTGCCATTTACCTTCCATTCAGTTTGTTATTACTCGCTTCCACACCCTGCTCCAGACTCAGCATAATTCAGATTTGCACATATTGCTATTAATATGAGCCACTAGACCTATATGTAGATATGTATAGGACAATGACCTATATGTAGATTACGGATGAGTGGTTTACAGACTTGAATAAATTATGTAGATGAGGGCTGTGTGTTTCCCAAAGTGAGTTTTATTAAAAATGGCATTAACCACTTGCCTACCAGGCACTTATACCCCCTTATTTACCAGGCCAATTTTCAGCTTTCAGCGCTGCCGCACTTTGATTGACAATTACGCGGTCATGCAACATTGTACCCATATGAAATTTTGATCATTTTTTTCTCACAAATAGAGCTTTCTTTTGGTGGTATTTAATCGCCACTGGGCGCTTTACTTTTTGCCTTATAAATAAAAAAATTGTAAAAAATTTGAAAAAAAAAGTTTTTTTGTTTCTATTATAAAATTTTTCAAACAGGTATTTTTTCTCCTTCACTGATGTGCGTTGATGAGGCAGCACTGATGGGCACTGATAGGCGGCACTGATGGGCACTGATAGGCAGCACTAAAGGGCACTGATAGGCAGCACTAATGAGGTGGCACCGATAGGCGGCACTAATATGCAGCACTGATAGGCGGCACTGATAGGTGGCACTGATAGACGGCACTGACTGGCATCACTGCTGGGCACTGACTGGCACAACCCCTGTGCACTGACTGGTGGCACTGACTGGCAGCACTGCTGGGCTGCACTGGTGGGTGGCACTGGTGGGCAGCACTGGTGGGTGGGCACAGGTGGGTGGCACTGGTGGGCACAGGTGGGTGGCACTGCTGGGCACAGGTGGGTGGCACTTCTGGGCACAAGTGTGTGACACTGCAGAGTGGCACAGGTGGGTGCACTGCTGGGCACAGGTGGGTGATCTGCTGGGCACAGGTGGGCGGAGCTAGTGGGCACACTGCTGGGCACAGGTGGGCGGAACTTGCGGGTGGCACTGCTGGGCACTGCTGGGCACCGATCATCAGGGCACTGATCATCAGTGCCCTGATGATCGGTGCCGATCCCTGCTCTGACAACTGCCGGTTCTCGGCAGTACTTTCCTCACGATCTGACAGCGTGAGGAAAGTGCAGCCGAGAACCGGCACTTGCATTTCCCTCTGATCAGCGTGTCATTGGACACCGCTGATCACGTGGTAAAAGGCCGCTGTGATTGGCCTTTTACCACATCACGTGATCAGCTGTGTCCGTAGGACACAGCGATCACGGAGATCGCCGGTTGCGCCCCGGGGCGCGCAGGAGAGCGCATTCTGGGAGGATGTCATATGACGTCCACTCAGAACTGGCCGGCCGCAGTGCAGCCGTCATTCGGCTATCTGCGGTCGGCTACTAGTTAAAGATATATAAACAGTTGTGAGAACTAGCATCAAATGTAGAGGTTTTTTTAAAGCACACAGCAACTCGCTTCTTCTTTTTAAGGGCCTTTTTGCCCAATTTTATTTAAAAGAAAGTTCCACAACATGCTTCCCATGGGGGTGTTCACCATCAAAACAAACAAAAATATTCAGCATCCTGGCTCTCTTTATCAGCCCTGCTGGTTAGCAGTACCTATATTTATATGGGTCTCCCAGACCACTGGCTAGTCTCAGCACAGAGCATTGGACTCCTTGTACGCACACAGCCTCTGTCAGGGATCCCCTCGATCCCCGCCGCGATGGTCCCGGCGCAGGCGCAGTGTGCCGCCCTGTGCAGGGACTCGAGCATTAGGTCCGGGCCGGCCGCGGCGTTCGAGTTCGCGCATGCGCAGTAGAAGCCGCGGCCGCCCGCTGGGCACCAATGGCAGCGCAGGGCGGGATATTTAAATGGCCCTGAGCTGTCATTCAGTGCCTTCTGGTCTTACCTGTATCCTGTATCTGCGAACCTGTGATTTGTAAGTTGCTGACCCAGATTGTGCTTTGACCTTGCTGTATTTCTCCTGCCCTGACCCTTGCTTCGCCTGACCTCTCTCTTGAATGCCCCCTATTGGATCTGACCTGCTGTTGCTGACCTGGCGTGTGACCCGACTATTCTCTGCCCGCTGCCTTGCACCGTACCCTCCTCCCTGTTACCGACCCGGCTTGTCTGACCTCGCACCTGCTCAGCCATCCATCCATCCGTCCATCCCTCCCAGTGGGGTCTCCTGACCTCCTCATATCAGGCTCTTCCCCGCAGGAGCCCTCGGCGAATACCACTACCACTAACGGGTTTGCCCAGTAGTCACGACCTGGTCTCGGGGGGCTCCAAGTCCATCCCCACCATCAGGGGCCCTGGTGAACAAGCACCCTGGGACTTAGACTCCGTGCTCTGGAAACGCCTATTTAGTGGAGTGCTAGTGGTACCGCTGGGTGGTCCCTTACAGTACCAGAAGGCCATGACGGAGCCTCGAGGAGGACCCTCCCCGCTGGAGGAAGTTTGTAGGCACCTGGCTACCTTGATACAAGCTGTAAACGTATTACAGGACAGGTGTTTACAGATTGAAAATCGGTTCCAGGCCTGCACGATATCTGCCCCTGCACCACAGGCCCCGACCCCTGCACCTCCGCCCGTAGCGGCCCCTGAGCCTGCTTCAGGGGCCCCCCACATCACTTCCTATGGCCGAACCCCGGGTACCCCTACCGGAGCGTTTTCACGGGGACCGCACACGCTTCAGGTCGTTCCGTGAATCCTGCCTTCTCTATTTTGAGTTGCAACCTCGTACCTTTTTGACGGAATCAGTAAAGGTGGGGTTTGTCATCTCCCTCCTGCAGGGTGAACCCCAAGACTGGGCCCACCGACTGAGAGGGAACAATGACCCCCACCTAGGCTCAGTTAACGTTTTTTTTTTTTTGACGCAATGGCCATCTTATATGATGACCCACAGCGGGCAGCTTTGGCCGAAGCAACCTTGTACACACTCCGGCAGGGCCGACGGGCGGCGGAGGAGTACGCCTCTGATTTTAGGCGTTGGATGGGGGACACACGCTGGAATGAGTTTGCCCTTGTGCACAGTTCCGTATGGGCCTGTCAGAGGCCCTGAAAGACGAGCTCGCCCGGGTAGAAATGCCTGAGGCGCTAGAAGACTTAATTGCACTAACCATCAAGATTGACCGAAGACTGCGGGAACGCAGGTTTGAGAGGTCCGGTCAGGGTCGAGGAGGTACCTGGGGGTCTTTCCAGGGTCACAGCCAATCCACTAGGCCACAGTTCCTGAACCCACCACCGGAGGATACTCCTGAACCCATGCAGCTAGGCCTGGCGCGACCTAAGCTATCTCCAGAGGAACGCCAGCGCAGACGCTCCCAGAACCTATGCCTCTACTGTGGTGAAGCTGGTCACATGGTACGATCCTGCCCGCAGAAACTGAGTAAGTGCACCTCTTCTTCCTTATCTGTTGGCGATGTTCATTCTTCCCAATACTTAGTTGTACCCCTCTCCTTTCAGCTGCCAGAAAGGACCGTGGAAGTGACAGCCATAATTGACTCGGGGGCATGCAGCTGTTTTGTAGATATTAATTTTGCTCACCAGCAGGGTATTCCCCTCCAACCAAAAGAAAAGGGGTTCAACATATTTCTGGCCGATGGGTCCCGGATAAGATCAGGGGTGGTTAACCAGGAGACCCCTTCCATTGCTACCACCATTGCCAGCCAACACCAGGAACTCCTCCGCTTGGATGCCATCGCATCACCCCTTTTTCCAGTCATTCTGGGGCTTCCGTGGTTACGGGCTCATAACCCCCAGATTGACTGGGAAACCAGGGTAGTCTCGTTCCCTTCCTCATACTGTCGGGAACACTGCCGCACTTCGGGCCCGGGGGTTCCCCAGGTCCTTGTGTGCTCAGAGGGGGATGCCGACTTAAGGCAGGTCATTCCTGCAGCCTACAATGAATTCCTTGATGTATTCAGTAAACGGGGAGCAGATACTCTACCCCCCCACCGCCCGTATGACTGTCCTATCGACCTGTTACCTGGCTCAGAGATCCCTTTCGGGCGGATCTTCCCCCTTTCGGAGCTCGAATTGGGGGCCCTGAGGGAATACATTGAGGACAGCCTGCAGAAGGGATTCATCCGCCCCTCTACCTCTCCGGCAGGGGCAGGGATTTTCTTTGTAGAAAAAAAGGACAAGACCTTGAGACCGTGTATTGATTACCGGGAATTGAATAGAGTTACAATCAAAAACCGTTACCCCCTGCCGTTGGTACCAGAGTTATTTCAGAGTTTAAAGGCGGCAGTGGTGTTCACAAAACTGGACTTAAGGGGAGCATACAACCTGGTTCGCATAAGGGAGGGGGACGAGTGGAAAACGGCATTCCGCACCCGCTTCGGCCACTTCGAATATCTGGTCATGCCGTTCGGTCTGTGCAATGCACCGGCCACCTTCCAACACTTTGTGAACGACATTTTTAGGGATTTCCTGGATGTCTTTGTTATCGTCTACTTAGACGATATTTTGATTTTTTCACCTTCTCTGGGGGAGCACAGGGTTCACGTAGCAAAGGTATTAGGGCGGTTGCGGCAGCACGGCTTATACGCCAAAGCTGACAAATGTTGCTTTGAACAGTCTAGTATTACTTTTCTGGGTTTGATTATCTCCACCGCGGGGGTCGCGATGGACCCTCAGAAAGTCTCTGCAATACTGGATTGGCCTGAACCCACAGACAGGAAGGGCGTCCAACGGTTTGTCGGGTTCGCAAACTTTTACCGCAAGTTCATCAAGAACTTCTCGGGTCTTGTCTCCCCCATTACTCAGCTAACCAAGCTTGGAACTCGATTCAGGTGGACGCCAGAGGCGCAGGAAGCTTTTGAAGCTTTGAAGAAGCTATTCACTTCGGCACCCATCCTGGGTCACCCCGATGCCGCCTTACCCTACATCTTGGAGGTAGATGCGTCAGAGAATGCGGTAGGTTCCATCCTATCCCAGCGAAAGGGCACCAAGGAATTGCTCCACCCTGTGGCATTCTTCTCACGGAAACTCACCCCGGCGGAAAGGAACTACGATATCGGCGATCGTGAACTTCTGGCGATTAAGACAGCGTTAGAGGAATGGAGGTACCTGCTGGAAGGTGCCTCACACCCCATCTTGATATTTACGGATCATAAGAATCTGGAGTACCTGAGGACCGCCAAACGCTTACGCCCACACGACAGGCAAGATGGGCACTGTTCTTCTCAAGATTCAATTTCCACATTACATACAGGCCGGGATCAAAGAATACGAAGCCAGATGCGTTGTCACGCATGTACGGGACGCCAAGGAGGTCCCAGCGCCCGACACTATCCTGTCTTTGGGAAACTTCTTGGCGCTCCAGACGGACCTTCGTTCCAAGATAATGGAGGCGTCCACGGCCATATCCATCCCAGCCGGGGTGCCCCTCCAGAACAAGGGGGGACTCCTGTGGAAGGAAGATCGGATTGTGGTGCCAGAGGAAATCCGAACTCTGGTCTTGGGCCATTGCCATGACCACCCGATGGCAGGGCACTTTGGGTCGGCCAAGACCTTAGAGCTCCTCCGACGCTCCTTCTGGTGGCCTGACATGGCAAAAGACTGCAAACACTACGTTAACTCCTGCATCACCTGCCAGAGGAACAAACCATCAAGGTGCAAGGCTTGGGGTCTTCTGCGGCCTTTACCGATTCCCGAATGGCCTTGGCAGAAAATTTCAATGGATTTCATAGTTGAGCTCCCACCTTCACGAGACCACACAGCAATTCTTGTGGTCGTGGACCGTTTATCTAAGATGGCCCACTTTATACCATTAAGGAAGACTCCGTCGGCAGCCGAAACTGCGCAAGTATTCATTCGAGAGATTGTAAGACTGCACGGGGTCCCTGAAGACATCGTCTCTGACCGAGGGGTTCAGTTTACCTCAAGATTTTGGAGGGCTCTGTGTAAAGCTCTGAACATCCAACTGTCCCTCTTTTCTGCATTCCACCCTCAGTCCAACGGACAGACCGAGAGAACCAACCAGACTCTGGAGCAGTACCTGCGCTGCTATACATCTTTTGCCCAGGATGACTGGATACCACTTCTACCCTTGGCGGAATTCGCGTACAGCAACGCGTACCATTCGGCAACGGGGCAGTCCCCGTTCTTTTCCAATTATGGGTTTCACCCTACCTTCCTCCCGGACTTGGTCCCT